GGTGGTGCTGACGGGTGTGCTGGCACTGGTGGGCTCCCGCGTGGCCGCGCTGGTGGTGCTGGAGTTCTCCCTGCGTGCCGTCTCCACCATCCTCTCCCTCAGCAAGGTGAGACGGGACAGGGAAACTGAGGCACGGCACGGCAGGGCAGTGGTGTGGAGGGAGCCGTGCAGCTGTGCATCCCTTGCAGATTTGCAAGGGGATTGCTGTGCAACCGTGCATCCCCTTGCAGATTTGCAACAACTATGAGGGCTATAGGGGCTGCAGCGTGGAGGAGACCATGCATCGCTCTGCAGCCATGCATCCCCTGGCTGCTTGCAACACCCGTGGGGTTATGGGGGGGCTGCAGCGTGGAGAAAACCATGCATCACTTTGCAGCCGTGCATCCCCTTGCTGCTTTGCAACACCCGTGGGGAGGACAGGGGAGATGGCATGGAGAAGACCATGCATGGCTTTGCATGCACGCACGCGTGCTATGGGGTGGCTTTGCATATACCCCCAGGATGCCGCATACGGCCCCTATACAGCCCCTATACCGTGCACCCCCTTGTTGCTTGCAACACCCGTGGGGGCCATGGGGGCTGCAGCATGGAGGAAGCCACGCATTGCTTTGCAGCTGTGCATCCCCTTTGCAACACCCGTGGGGAAGACAGGGGAGACGGCATGGAGAAGACCATGCCCGGCTTCGCAGCCGTGCATGCCCTTGTTGGTTGCAACACCCATGCAGGTCATGGGGAGGCTGCAGCACGGAGGAAGCCATGCATCGCTTTGCAGCCGTGCATCCCCTCGCTGCGTTGCAACCTCTGCAGCGGCTGACGGTGCCATCCCGCTCTCGCAGGGCGCCCACAGTAGCCAGCTCTACCTGCTGTGCCAGTACTCGCTGGGCTGCGGGGTGTCCTGCAGCCTCAGCTTCTTGCTGGAAGGGGCTCCCCACAGGACCTGCAACCTGGTGCTGGCAGCGGGGCTGGCGGGGCTGGCGGGCACCCACACACCGCGCTCACCACATCTGCACCCTCTACGAGCTGCACAGCCGAGCACGTTACTGCGGCGTCTGCATCCTCCTCCTCGCCGCCGGTCATGGCATCCCCCGGCTGCTCCGGAATGCTTTGGCCATCACCTTTGCCGTGGCTGACCTGGCCGCCGTGGCGCTCATCAACCAGGATTTCCTCTCCACGGCGGAGGCCGTCCGCTTCTGGACGCCGCTCACCATCTGCTACACGCTGCTGGTCATCTACATGCAAGGTGAGAAGGGGACTGAACCCCCAATT